CCCGGGGGGGGGGGGTCTGGTACCCCTGGAACTCTGTTTGTGGCCTCTGCCTCCCGAGGGAGACTCAGGGAAGAAAGATGTCCTGAAACTGTCTCCTTCCGCCCTGGCATCTTGGGGGTGCCCTACCTGCTGTCGGAGAAATGAGGGTTGCGTGTGGCTCTTTCCTGGGGTGCTAATCAGGGACCCCCCCAGAACAGGGTGGGGAGGGAGAGGTAGGAAGGAAAGGATACTCACCAACTGTCTCCCCCTCATCTCCTTCCTCTCTTTAGGCCACAGGTCAGCGAGGAGCTCAAGGACCTGATCCTGAAGATGCTAGATAAGAACCCCGAAAGGAGAATTGGGGTGCCAGATATCAAGGTGGGGGAACCATAGATCTCGGGCTAGGACACAGCAAACAGGCCTCAGTTTCTCCTGTGGAGAGCCCTACCCCAGGACATGTGCATTGGGTTTGAGTTTGGGCTTTGTGGACTTTGGGCTCCCTCAAGGTGATTGCAGGTGGAATGCCCGTGGTCCTTTGCTGGCCGGGTGTCTGTGCCTGTGGCCCTGACCCCTCCCCACCCTCCCAACTCCACAGTTGCACCCCTGGGTGACCAAGAATGGGGAAGAGCCCCTTCCCTCGGAGGAAGAGCACTGCAGTGTGGTGGAGGTGACCGAGGAGGAGGTGAAGAATTCGGTCAAGCTCATCCCCAGCTGGACCACGGTGGTAAGAGGGTGAGGGGCAGAGGCTTCCCTGCCCTGGGAGGGCCGGAGGGGGACGTGGCCACTGCCTGAAACTAGCTCTGTGCTGGGCCTTGGGGGCGGTTAGAAGGCCGCCTGGTCTGCCAGCCTCCATGCTAGGCCAGCGGCCTCTATTCTTCTGGAGGCCCATGGGGAGAGGCCCCTTTATTCAGCCTTGTGGTGGGGACACCAGGAGGCTTGGCAAGGAGGCTTTGTAAACTGCCGCCTACAAAGTGAATGATTTAAAGAAACAGACTGCCCTTGCTGAGTGCCAACACTCGCTGTGATTCCAAGATGTATTTCTTCCTCCCTCCCTCCCTCCATCCCTCCCTGCCTCCCTCCCTCCCTGCCTCCCTCCCTAACATTTACTGAACTGCCATTTTTCAGGTACTGTACTAGGTGCCAAGGTTCCAGGGAGCCTTTGAATTATAGAAGCAGCCCAGTTCCCCCCTACATGTCAGTCAGTTAGGCCCCACCTGTATGCTTCCTTCATTCTCATCTCCCATTTTAGTTTCCTCATCTTCCTCTGGACACCTTCCATGTTAACAATTGGAAGTCACTAGTGCAACCCCTGATGGCCATTTGGGGCTTTTGGAAGGACATAGCCTGTCCTTCACTGGGGTGTCACAGTGAGTGAAGGCAAACATAAGGCCAGGAGAGAGCCAGGCCGTGCTGTGGGTGGGTCAGTCCTGCTGGGTCCAGGCCCCTCTGGGCCAGCTGGCTAAAGTCCTGTGCTCTGTAGAGCTCCAGGGTTCTGTGGGGTCCCTGGAGCTAGTCACCTCCCACAGGGTCCCTATGGCCACTTCCCTGGCCTTAGCTTCTGTCTTCCTTCTAGGGCATTAGAATAGCCTCCCAAGCTGCCCCCTGCCTCCACTCTCACCTTTGCCCTTAGCCAGGGTGGTCCTGGTGACCTGACCATGGCACTTCTCAGCTCAGACCCTGCTCTCTCAGGCTCACATATCACTTAGAGTGAAAGCCCTGACTGGCCTGTAAGACCCTGCACAGCCTGCCCACCCCCATATCCCCTGATGACCTCATCTCCCCTCCTCCCACCATTTTCTGGGCTCCAACCACATGCAAAGTAAGGTGCTGGCTACAAAGGCCAGGGCCTTTGAATTTCTCTTCCCTTCCCCCGACGCTCCTGCCCAGCCATCCACAGGGCTCCCTTCCTCATTCCTTCAGGTCTTTGCTCCAAAGTCACCTTCTCAGAGAGAAGTGAGCCTCTCCTTGTGCCTTACCTAAAACTCCAGCCTCCTTTTTCTCGTGCCTGTTTTCTTTCTTTCCATTAACTACCATATATTTTACTGATTTGTCTTATTTATTGCCTGTCCCACCCACTAGAATATGAGATCCATGAGGGCAAGAATTTTTGCACCAGTGTGTCTCACCTGTGCCTAGAACAGTGTCTGGCATGTGGTGGGCACTCAGTAAATAGCTGCTGATTGATTGATTGATTGATTGAGTGAGTGAGTGAGTGAGTGAGTGAGTGAGTGAATGCACCCCTGATACTGTGCGTGGGTGTGAGTTTGTGCGTCTGTGGGCAGGGGTGCGGAACTGTCCTTGCTGCAGGAGGAGGGACAGAGTCAGAGAGCCAGGGTGCAGCAGCCTCTCCTGGCATGTCTCCCAAGCCACTGCGCTGCCCGGCACAGCCTCTCCTCGGCTCCATCCCCCCAGCCTCAGCGAGTCAGAGCAGAGGCTGCCAGTGGCTTTGGGAGCCTGGGGCCTATGTTCCTCATGCTGACTGACGGACGTGGACGTGCCCTCCCCAGATCCTGGTTAAGTCTATGCTGAGAAAGCGTTCCTTTGGGAACCCGTTTGAGCCCCAAGCACGGAAAGAAGAGCGATCCATGTCTGTTCCAGGAAACTTACTGCTGTAAGTACCAGTGGGCTGAGACCTGCGTGTCACTTCCTGGGGTGCGGCAGGGGTGGTGGCACATCCCTCCACTCTCACTGTCATCAGGCTGTGCGGGCTGAGCCAGAAGCCTGGGGACTTGGCTGGGTCTCAGAGTAGGACCCTTCTGCACCTCTTTCCTCAGCCCACGGTAGAGGTTTGCAGCTAGGCCTCCTGTCTGCTCCTCATAGAAGGATGGCTGGCCTGTGGGGGGAGGGCCCTCCTGCCAACTCTACAGCCCGGGCTGTGCTAGCTGCTTTCCTGACTGGTACCTCCAGCCGTCGCTGAGGCCATGGGCCTAGTCAGCGCCCTGTAAGCGCCTGTTCAGCAAGTAAGCTGAGACAGGCCGGCTGACCAGGCCAGGGAAGAGGAGCCCTCCTTTGCTGAAGGCTCCCTACTGTGAACCAGGCCTGTGCAGTCACCACCTGCTAGAAGTCAGGAAAGCGGTTCTCCAAACCTGAGAGCCTCGTCTTCAGCTTGTCCATCTCCCACTACAATAAAAGGCAGTGTGGGAGGCCAACAAGGTCTGCTGGAGTTTGCCCGCAGACCTGCAGACAGAGAGCCATGAGAGGGTCCCAGACCCACATGTGGCTCTGGGAAGCCAGTTGCCTCCCTCTGGCCTGTGAAGGGAGCTGCAGGGAGGAGGAGCTGTGTGTCCCGCCAGCTGCGTGGAGAAGGCGTGCTCCCCAGAGAGGGGGCGCCTGGCACGAAGGAGTCCTTTCAAGCGTGCCATCCAGGGCCCCAGACATGGGTTCTGTGTGAGGCCACCCTCTGTGAGTGGGCTCTTTAGAAGTGCCAGGTCCCATCGTTGTGGACAAGCTGGTGTCTGCTCCCTGACAGAGGTTGCTTACCCTCAGGGATGTCCGTATACCACCCTCTTGCCCTCTTCTTGATAAACTTTCTGGCCAGTGAGGGGTGGAGCCTGGGAGAGGCCTTGATGTCACTGAACTTCCTGTTCCCTTGTCTCTTCAGTATGTTGGCCAGGGCTGGGGGAGGGGCTTCCCTGGGCTCCTCTAGGTCTGCAGGCCCTGGTGCTGGAATTGGGCTTAGTGTCGGGGATCATATATTTAGCAACCAAATGGAGTCACTTTTGAGAGTGAAAGAGGAAGCTATTACTAACTGCGCCGGGACTACATGCGTAGCCAAAGCCATGTCAAGCAAACCTGGACATCTGGTCACACTAGCTCAGTGCCTGTGACTCAGCTCCCCCTCGTGGTGGGACAAGCCAGTCACAGGCTAGAGGCACATTCGGTACCTACCTCGGATACGCCTGGCACAGGGCTGGACTGCAAGTGAGGAAGGCAATCATTGTTTTTATAGATATGTTAATGGGGGGACAGGCCAGTTTCCTTGGGTTAAGTATTGGGTTTAGTACTTTCTAGCTATAAAATTCTATAATTCTGTGACTCAAATTTAATTTTGAAAAGCAGGTTGTACGTCATAATAAGAGTCCCAAATTTGTCCTTGATCAACTCTGTTTTTTATGTTTTGGGATAATTGTTGAAGCTGTACAGTAGAGTTAAATGGTATTGATTCTTTTTTAAGATATCAAAACCTGTTCATTGGTCATTTGAAAAAGAAAGGTCTTAGGGGGAAAATCAGATACTGGAATCTGTTGAATATGTGACATCAATGCAAGACCGATGGGTAGACTCTACCCTGCGCACAAGAGAAAGGAAATGCAAAACCAAAGCCCCTCTATTCAGGACTATGGAGGCTGATCTAGGCCGGCATGCAAGGCCTGTGAGGACGCAGGGAAGTCAGCTGAGTCAGATCATGTGAGGCTCCAGAAGGCAGGCTGGGAAGTCTAGACTTCATCTCTGGGCAGTAGGGAGCCATGGAGAGTTATAGGCCGAGATTTGGGGTAGGAAGACCAGGAAGGGGCCACACTGCAGGGTGGTGAGCTTGGGGAAGTGGATGAGGGGGGATTTAAGAGCTGACGGGTATGAACGCCTGTGAGTGTGTGAGAATGTCCTTCCTGAGTGCAGGCTCTCACCCCCGAGGTCCTTCTGCCCCTTGTGTCTCCTGAACAGGAAAGATGGGTGTGGTGAAGGCATCAAGAGCCCAGAGCTCCCCGGTGTCCAAGAAGATGAGGCTGCATCCTGAGCCCCTGCATGCGCCCAGGGCCACCCAGCAGCACGCTCATCCTGCGCCTCCAAAGGCCCACCGCTCTCATGCCGACAGCCGCCCCTGCGGGCAGGGGGCTGGGGACATGGACCCTCTCCTGGCTCCCCTTCCCCCGTCATGCTGCATGACCTCAGCATGTGTCCAGAGACAAGATCAGAACGTGTGTCACCTGGGGTTTGGCGGGCAGGGCTCCCTTGAGGCATTTCTCCTGGTCTTGGCTCTCCCTGGTGGGACCCATGCTGTGGGGAAGGTAGGTACACACGGTGCCTTAGAAACCCCACTTGGCTTGTCCGCAAGGCCCAGAGGCAGGAGGCAAGAAACCAAGATGGCAGGTGGAGGCCTGGCTGACCACCACTGCAGAGACTTCCCCCTGGGGGCTGGGCAGGCCTGGCTCCGTGCCACACGCACATGGAGGGGTGTACCCTGCCACCTCAGGGAGCTACTGCCAGAGCTCGTGTCTGCTGAGAAAACTGTTGTGGAATCTCTGAGTCCCTGATGGGTCATTCTGGGACCTCACTGGGGCAGGGACCAGTATTGGAACATTCAGATTCATGTTTTGTTCTTTTACTTTTGTTTTTAACATGGGGAGAAGGGGGTACAGAGACCTGCTTGGGAACATCAAATGACCTCTCTAAAGTTTTGGGTGGCTCCTAGCGCACCCCACCATTATTTGCAGCCAGGAGAGCTGAACTGACCTTGCTGGATTGTGTTTCACACTCAGAGAATGGGTTGAATTAAAGATCTGAGCAGAGACCTGGACCAGGATCACCACCTCTTCCCCACCTGCATCACTCCCTCCGTTTGTGGCTCCTCAGAGCCGTGGCTGCAGAAGAGACGCCCGGGGTCCACGTCACCCGAGGACCCTGGACTCACAGGGCTGTGGCCTTGCAGACGCAGAAGTAACTGGAATCCATTCCCTAACCCTACGCTGGCCTCCCCATCTGGCCCCAGAAGCTGCCCCCACATTCCTACGATGAAGGACAGACTGCCCAGGCTGGAGGGTGCCCTAGGAGTGGGGCCTTGGTGAGGTGAGCGTGCTGGCAGGCGGCCATGGAGAGGTGGCCCTTCAGCCACTGCCTCGGCCCGAGGACAGTCACCATTCAGCCTGCGCAGAGCTGAAGTGCTGGCGTGTGTGTGTCCACTCGGCCAGGCTGGAGCAGACGTCATCTCTGGGACCACTTAATTGCTTGTTTACTGACCAAATGTTCAAGAGACTGACCCCCAAAGGAAAGGGAAAGCAGGACTCAGATACCTCCCCTGAAAACATGGGCCAAACGGGGTTGCAGTCGCTGGCGTGGGTTTCATGTCGCAGGAGGACTTGTGTTGAGAAGCGAAGGGAGGCCGGCTGGAGGAGCGCCTGTGTCCGCGCATCTCTGTGCCTGTGGGTGTACATCGCCTCCGCGCACATACGCATGTGCGTGGCCATCCGCTGCACAGCACACGCATGTCTTGCACTGGCACATGCATCTGAAATATAGTTTCTATGTCTATTTAAGGCTATGAGCAGAATGTGGCCTGTTATCCATGGTCCACATTTCTCCCCGGCTCATCTCCACTAAGACATTGTAACCCAGGGCTTAAAAGATAATTCGGTACTGTTTTTAAGAACACTTTTATAGAGTTCACAGGAGGCCAGGTCACAGATCAGCAAGGTTTTTCTGAACATCTCTTTGCTGGGGCCTGGCAGGTGGGGCTTCAAGGGGGTGATATCTGTTGGACTTGCCCTCAAGGAGCTCAAAGGTGAGCCTGGCCTTATTGCCCAGATCACAGCCTGAATGGGGTGCTTACCCCATCACTGAGGGTTTGGTTGGCATCATTGTTTTTGAATGTAGCACAAGTGATGAACAAACTCCATAAGAGTGTTTTAAAAATTAACTTCTCAGGAAGTGAGTTAAAAACAATAAAAGCCCTTTCTTGAGTTTAAAAAAACAAAAAAGTTTATATGTACATTCTGTGCATCTGGGTGTGTGTGCTTTCTCACCAGCTGGCTTTGCTTGCTTTCCAGTGTCTGAGCAGAACCGTGGGGGGAGGGGAGGCTCTAGGGGCAAGTGGGAGGGGGAGAGAGGAGGGATGACTCAGGCACCTGAGCAGGTCCTGTGGCCCCTGCTTGGAACTACTGGGTGTTTGGAAGCCAGTGGGCTGCCCATGAGGCACCCTACCTGTTTCACAAGGGCCCAGGGACACCGGAGTCTGGTCCCTAGGAGCTGTCTACTCTCCATAGGGCAGAAGCCCCAGTGAAGCCTTACAGGAAACCCTGTGATGTGGGCCCGATGTCCTCCCTGTGCCCCCTTAGCCTTGGGCAGTGGCACGGGCTTTCTGGACCCTGCAGCTCCCTGCTTGTCCTAGGGCCCTTCATGGCCATGATGAAAAGTATCATCATTGAGGTCAGATAGCCTTGAGCTTGAATCCAACTTTGCCATTTAATAGTTGTGTGACCTCGGCAAGTCATCAGAGGAGTCTCAGTTTCCTTATCAATTGAATACTGATAAGAGCACCTCCTCAGGGTTCTTTGAGGTTAAACAAAGTCCTTGTGCCAGGCACCTGACAGTGCTTGGCACAGAGTGAGAACTCGGCAAGTGAGACCCTGAAAAGAAAAACAGAACTTCCTGCCTCTGGGATGGCCTGCAACCAGCCTCAGAGGCCTCGGGCTCAGTGCATTCTGTGTACTTGCCCATCTGTGGCGCTCCCAGCTGGATGAGACTGGAGACCAAGCAGGAGGCCAAGCCAGAGGCTGCCTGGTGTGGTGATCAGTTTTTTCATCTGAGAGATGGAGGCCAGAGCTGCTTCTGCCGCTCCCAGTCATCCTGTGAGGGTCCCATGAGGGGCTGCACCAAGCCCTCTCCAAAAGGGGTCCAGAAGGGGTGCTGGCAGCTAAGTTCCCCAAACGCCAAAACTGATAAGCAGGTTCTTGTTCCCACTTGTCCCCACCACGGCAACCCCTCAACCCCACCATCTCAGTTCCTCATCGGTCTCCTGGCCTTGGTCCTCAGCACTCTAGTCCCCCTCTCACCAGCTGCCAGGGTGATCCTGGTGCTCACCTGAGCATGCCCTCCCCTCTCAGAAACCTGTGCTCAGCCTGGCATCAGAGGTCCCTGCCACCAGCCCTGCTGATCCCTGGAAGCTCTCCTGACACATGACCCACCCACCACACTCCATTCACTTTTCACACCTCATGGTTCTTCGGCTCACCCTCTCCTCCAGGACATTGCCTTTCCCCATGTCTGCCTCTCCTTGTCAAAGTCGGACCTCCCTCCAAGGCCCTATTCTGCAGTCACAAAAACCTCTCAGGTGTTGGTCACCAAACCCTGGGCAGGGGGTTGACAGGCCAGATCATCATGCTAAGAGCTTTGAATGGGACCATGGAACATGATGTTATTTCCCTACGAGCGCCACCACTCTCGGAATCAATGGCTTGTTCAGAGTCACATAGCAAGTCAAGGAGGAGCCAGGCTAGAGCCCAGGTCCCCTGCCCACCCCACACCAGAGGCCAGGAAAACCCAGAGCCGGTGGGGAAAAACATCTGGGCAAATCAGAAACGGAAGGTGCACTTCCAGACCCAACCACATGGGGGAGCTGAGCCCAGGTTAGGGGTATCCTGATGAAGATGGGGCAGTCCCGGATTTGCTCCGGGAGGCCTTGGTTCCTCATAGACAATGTCTTTGGGCTCCGGATCCCAGAGGCATGTTGCCTGCTCTCTGCTCCCTCCAACTGCTATCACCCTATATGGTCTCAGCCTGGGGGAGAGGTAAGGGATGGTCAGGGCCACTGAGGGTTCCAATTTTCCCAATGGGACACTCAGACACATACTGGCACCCCACAGGTTACAGGGTCATTTTCCACCACCTCATATTCCCTCTCTTCCTCCACACACACAGGCTGACACACCTACGCAGCCTCTCCTCAGACAAATAAGCAGGCCTGGGATTCTGTGGAGGGAGGCCAAGGGAGCCATATGGCAAGTGTTACTGGGCCCTAGGGCCCAACTGAGGCCCAGGAGGAGACCAGCAGGGCCAGTGAAGGGGCCTATCCTTCGTCTCACCTGCAGAATAGTCCCTGGACTGCAAGGACTCCCTGCACCGCTCCAGCCTCTTGCTGGACTGGGCATCCAGAGCTCAAATGACCATTTCCTGACCCTGGTCCCCTCCCCCGTACACATACAGTCCTGGCTCTGCCTTCTGGGGTCTCAGACACATCCATCTCTCCAGCTAGGATGGCCCAGGGAATAAAGTCTGGGTCCTCTCACCCTCCAGCGCAGTTGCCAGTCCCCACCCAGGTTGGACTGACCAGTTTGTCATCAGCCCATCTGGCTTTGTAGTCAGCCTCCCTGCCCTCCCCACTGCCTAGGGCCCTGCTACCTCTAGGTAGTCTTCCCTCGTCCACAGGCCCAGAGGCACCCTTGGCATGTGGTCTGGTGTCTGGTCCATCGCCTACAAGACTGGAGTCAGGGACCAGGAATTGGAATCTTGCCCCATCTGAGTCTCTTTCACAACTTCTATCTGCCCATCCATCGCGATGAAGGCCCTTTGAAGAGCATCTCTCAACTGAATCACAAGAGTGGGGCCTTCCCTCTGGCCTTTTCTGTTCTCTGGTCCTGCTCTTCAGCCTCCGAACTAGCTCGGGCCTCCCCTGTAGCTGTAACCCAGATTTCCACCTCCTCGGTTTTCCAAAGACCACTGCCTCACACTCCTGGGCATGCAGGAGGCCCCTCCTCCTGTCTTCTCTCTCAGATGCTCTCAGCACAGGCTCTTTGTCTCCTCTGTCCCATCACCAGCAGGACTGGTCACTGTTTGCTCTAGCTGCAGTACATGAGACTGACTGAGGCTCTCTGCACTCTGTCCCTTTTGCCTGCAACCCAGGTATGTGTCCTTGGCTGGAGTCAAACCCAAGACCCTTCAGTCTGTGGGCTGATGCTCTAACCACTGAGCCAAACCAGCTAGGGCTCATTTCCTTTTGATATGTACTCCTTCCATCCATCCATCCATCCATCCATCCATCCATCCATCCATCCATCCATCCATCCTTCCAGTATTGTCCAGGGTCTTCTATAACCAGGCACCGAGTTAGACACTAAATCAAATCAACACTGTTCCTGCTCTCATGGCTCTCACAGTCCATCGCTCAAGTCAGACATTAATCAAGTTACCTTGCACAAGTGTGGATGACTTTGAATTGATATGGGCAACTCTATAGGAAAGGTTTGTCGGGTGGCTCTCTGAGAATAGTTAGGGAGGCTTCCCAGAGAAAGGGAAGCTCCAGCTGAGATCTGAGGTTGAGGAAGAATTTAGCTAGGCCAAGGGGGAGGAAAGAAAACTCCAAGTAGAGAGACCAGCTTGTCCTACTGGAGATTGTCTGCCTCTCTAGGGAAAGGTACCTTCAATTGCCTTCCGATTTGCTATTGATTAGGTATTTTATAACTCAGTAAGAGTAGGGGTTAATTTATAGAAAATTCGTAGTGAGCAAATAATTTTTTGCCCAATAGCTATGAAAATGTTTTCTGTCTGGTAGGAAAGGAAACCCCCAAGGTCACAGTTTCTTGCTTTGTAAGGCATTAACCCGTGTTAAGCTCATTTCTGTATTCCTTTTGACTGACCCACACTGCACTCATTCTCAAATTCTCTTTGGAGCCCGGCTGGCCTGGCTCAGCTGTTGAGCATCAACCCAGGAACAGAGAGGTCACAGTTCGATTCCCGGTCAGGGCACATGCCTGGGCTGTGGGCTCCATCCCCAGTAGGGGGCGTGCAGGAGGCAGCCGATTGATGATATTTCTCTCTCATCTCTTTTGAACTAGTCTTAATATCTCATCAATGTCCTCATTCACTAATGAATAAATATAAGCTTTGTCAAGTGTTCATTTCATATTTGAGTCATGCTTTTTAGCTTTTTTGAAAATTATTCTTGACTAGTCCTCATATGGTAGTCCCCACCTCAGCAGGATGTGCCCTAGACAGGAAGGGAGTGTAGGGGTGAGTTAGGTGACTAAAAAGGGACAGGCATGAAGATCTTTCCTGATAGGAGCCTGGGAACTCTGGTGTTTGTCTGATGCCCTGGCTGGCTGTGGATTCCTAATTTTCCTGCCAGCTAGAGCTCCCCCAGGGGACTGGTGTTCCTCTGAACTGCAGTGCCTGAGTCCTCAAGCCACAAGGCTCCTACCCTGCAGGGTGAGAGGCCTGCCCAGCCTTCTCTGCTAGTCTCCTGGTGTCCATAGCCAAGGAGGGATTGCTTCTTCCTCTCTCCATCCCTCAACCCTGCAGGCCTAGAAAACAAATGTAATGGCGGGGTCTGTGACTGTCACCCAAAGCTGGCCACCTCAAGCACAAACTTTCTTTGAACTGTCCTTAAAAATTCTTGCAAATGTATTCCAACCCAGTTTTGTAACTACTGTGTCCCTTTCATCAAAACTAGCCCTAGAAAGAGCTCCAGCTTGTGTTTATTTTGTTATTTAGCCCACATTTAAGGAAAACTGATACACTGTACCCCTTCTGTTGAATCCTATACCTACATATAATTATCTCATTTAACCCTCACAACCTCCTTTGGGGGTGGGTAGCATTGTCCCACATTACTGCTGAAGGACTGAGATTCTGACGGCTGCGTGCTTGCCCAAGGTTACACATGACATAAGGGGCAGAGACAGACAGCTTAAAAAACCCAGGTTTGATGCTGATCATGTCCTCCCTTGGTTTATAATCATGGTCCGAGCTGGTAGGGCCTCTGAGACCCTAGGGTTCCACCTACACCCTCCTGAGATGGGAAGACAGGCCCAGAAAGGGGCCAGAACTAGCCCAAGGTAACACAGAGAGAAAGGTACAAAATCAGAAAAACTGACCAGTGGAGCCCTCTGGAAGCCTAAAGGACATTCCTCCTCTCCCAGCCAGGCTCTTGTTACAAATGTCTGCAAGAAACCATGTTCAGAACTTTACAGAGGATCAGGCCCTCCGGAGTCAGGAAAGCGCTGGCCTTGGGGT